GGTATAAACTCACTAGATCACCAGCGCAAATCCTTTCCTTACACGGCCTTATGTATAGCGCATGCCGTCGTCGATCACCGTGGCACGCAAGATCGATCGGCAGGCAGGCAGCACACGGCCAGCTACAAAATTTACAGAGGAGGAAATCGGCGGCGCACGCCGATTAGGAGATCACAAAGTTTGTCTGTAGATCGAGCTACATGGAACCTCTTATCCTCAGCCCTCCAACATTGATTTGAGATCCGTACTCTCCAACTAATTTACAACAAGAAGTTTTCTCTTTTTTGTTTCTCTCAAATGAAAGAACGTATAGACTTCAAACTTTGTAGATCAAACAAATTTTACAACTTCAACGTGTGAAAAAACTTTCAGATTTTTTGGACCGACATAAATATAAAAAATGTAGATTTTTTGGATTAAAAATAATAATTTTAGCAGTTAAAATGCATGAAAAAATCTGAAAGTTTTTTCCCACATAGTAATTAGAATGTTTTGTTTTGCTGCAAAGTTTGAAGTTTATACGTAGTTTCGTTTGAGAGAAACAAAAATGACAAATGTGCCTGCATGGATCACGATGCAAAAATGGATGGCTAAGATAAGGGGTACCACGTAGCTCGAACTACACAAAACGACACGAGTTGGGGTCCTCGTCGGCGTTGCATGCGTGGTGGTATGGGTGCGGGTGGTACAGCGGCGGCGGGTACCAGTACGGAGGCAGGTACACCACCTGCTCCTTCTTGTCGCCTTCCTTCTTGACGCCTTCCTTCTTCTCGTCCTTGGCCGGGCCGACGGTGACCATCTGCGCCATGGGAAACTTGCTGCGCAGCCTTTCGACGAGTTCGATGGGGTCGATGGTGCCGATGACCATCATCTTCTACTCCTTCGTGTCCACGGAGATATGGTCGATACCTGAGGAAGACACAGTTTTCGGTGAGCCGCATGATGGCAGACTGGTGCACTACGATGAAGATCCTGGCCATCCGCCTGCACGATCTGAAGGAACCGGAGAAGCAGGGGACAAACCAAACTAGCCCTATTACCGTGGAGGGTGGAGACGACCTGGATGGCCTTCTGCTTCTGTCTGTCGTCATGCACATCCAGCTTCAGCACATCCTGAATTCCGCAACCACCAAACAAGAAAACAAGATGATCAAACATGAGCAGCAATCAAGAGCCATACTGAAATTACAAGAGAAAGAAATCCCAATTCGGTCGACTGTAAGTAAGCAACAAACCTTCATCTCCGCCATGGATCCGACCTGACCGGCACTGACCGACTATCGTGGAATAGTCATGGCAGATGTCCTAGTGTGAGGACTTAGTCGTGGAGCCATCGCAACTAGGTTAGATTAAAGGGTTAAGCGGGACAAAGGACATAAAGAGTTTATATTGGTTTGGCCCCTTGCGGTGAAGGTAAAGGCCTAATCCAGTTTGAGGTGATATTTCTTATGTTTCGATTAACATGGAGCGAATACGCTTGACCTAGCTTTTGATCTCTTGTTTCTTGCCCTGAACCGCCACCGCGGCGTCCCTTTATATACACAGGTTGATGTCCAGTGGCTCACGGAGTCTCGACCGGCTCATAGACAACGGGTCCGGCTCGGTGACTAACTATACTTGCCTTACAATATAAGTCATACACGTATGGCGGTTTACCCTATGGGCCTTAAGTCGCTCTTGAGCCTTCGCCCCATGAACCACCATCTTCAATATCCTCATGGGCTTCATATAGGATGAGCCTCCATAGGTATAACCCGGCCCCTCCTGGGCGGGTCATACCTAATAGTTATATCCCCAACATTACGCCCCAGATTGATTTGAATTTGTTCATGTAAATCTTCAATACTTAGAAAAAGTCCTTCCATCTTGATTTGTGTGAGATCTCATAACCCGCCATGACGCCATCTCCTGCGATTGTGATAACCCGCCATGACGTCATCTGCAATTTAATTTTACACAATATCCAACATATCTTAATGGATCCTTATCTTTAATGACCATCTCGAAAATCTAGGCGTCCGAACCGCTGAATAATCATTCTTTGGCCTCCTTGTTTTTCGTGCCCACCTGTTAACTTTCTCCTTATAAATAGGGTCAAACATCCCTTCTTTCATTCTTCCCTTCTCCTTCTTGTCTTCCTCCTCCTCTCGCGACTCATCTGCCGCTTCGAGCTCCACCACCGCCACGAGCTCACCGTCTTCCTCGTCCTTGCCCGCTGTATCGACCTGAACGGGACCAGAGAGACTGCAGCGCCTCCTCATTGCTCCTCGGATCTAGTAAGCTCCTTATCCTCTCCACCGTAGATCTCCATTAGGGTTTCTGTAGTTCTTCATCGTTCTTCGTCGTTCTTCACTATACCTCTAGTTAGCTCTTATTTTAGATCCAAATATCTCCCTTAGGACGCGCGAAACCGGTGTCTGCTCCTTTTGTTGTCTCAAAACTTGTTTCGCAGATGCAGAAATCTTGCCCTTGTGCTAGTTCCTATGCTGCCGCAATATTTAGGTTTTGAATTATTTTTTTTTCACATTGTGCTAGATCCAAATCATCTGCTCCATTTTATAAAACATGTTTATTCAACACTTAGCAGATTTCACCCTTGATAGATATCCATCTGGTCATGGCAGCTTATCTGGTCATGGCAGCTTATATCACCAGTTGTAGCTAGTCATATATCATTAGGCCCCTTTTAAGCCGCCACTCTGAATATGTACTGTAGTGTTTTCCTCCGGCTTAATGAATCAACTTTAAACCGGCAAAATTATTCCTTCTTTTGGGCTTCTTTCTTCACAATGCCGCCGAAGATAGCCACTTCATGTAACTGGGTTCCCTCCATTGTCATTGAGGACATGCTCAAGGACTTTGTGAAAACTGGCTATTTACCAGATAAGACAGTCATGCATTATCGCGCCCCCAATCTGGAAGAAGAAAAACCTCAGGCAAAGGATGGTGAATTCATCAGTTTTACTGATCACATGAATCGGGGCTTCTCACTGCCCGGTTCTAAATTTTTCTGAGGTGTTCTGCACTTCTTTGAACTTTATCCTCAAGACATTGGACCCAATTCCGTGTCAAACATTTGCAACTTCCAAGTTTTCTGTGAAGTGTACCTTCAAGAGGTGCCCAGTGTCAAACTGTTCATGAAATATTTCTATTTGAATCGCCAAAATGAGTTTACAAAGGGACCCAGCTTGGAACTTGGCAGAATCTCAATTCAACGGAGAAGAGATGCCATCTTCCCCTATGCTTGCTTGCCGAGTCACCCTAAAGATTGGAACCAGATATGGTTTTATTGCCAAGATACCTCTCCGGCTGATGAGAATCCGCTGTCGAGTTACCGTGCCTAGCGTCTTGACTCAAAACACCATCTTCCTAAGAAGCTTACAGCTGCCAAGCGTAAAAAACTCGCCCCCACCATTGCAAAGGTCAAGGCTCTGCTGGGAAACGGTTTAACTGGTATTGACTTGGTTCGATGCTGAGTTGCATGGCGGATCATACCATTGAGTCACCGATCTGGCTTAATGTGTACTTACACGGGTGGTAAAAAGGATCCGCTGTGCCACAGCTCCGTGCGTTTAACTGATGACGCCATTAATGAAATGACGAAGTCCCTTCTGAATGAAGATGCGGAAGGTTGCAGCAAAGTGGGTCTGAACCCTTTCTGCACACTTAACCCTACACCAAAGGCGAGTCTTTAAATTACTTATTTTACCTTCATCATTCAAATCTTCTATTAACTCAACTTTTATGATTTTCACAGGCTGATGATGATTTTTGGAAAAAGAAGTACAACCATGAAGCTGCCAAAAGGGCGAGGGCTGCCAAGAAAGCCGCCAAGAAAACCGCCAAGAAGAATAGGAAGAAGACCAGTAGTTCCGGGCTATTTGAACTGGTCAACAGCTCTGAGTCGGAGGTAGCTCTTGATTCTCTTGGCTCCTTTTTCAACTACCTTACTAACATTGATTATCATCAAGATGACACGGGGGCCAGTCAAGCGATCGAGGAAGAGGTAACTATCATTTCCTCCGACTCCGAGCCAAGACAGAAAATTCAAAGAGTAACTCAGAAAGTAAGCTTTTCACACCCCTTAGCTCATCTGGATCCTCACTTTCTTTTGAAGCAATAGCAGCACGAGAGCCGACGAAAGACTCGGACCAGCGGAGGTGAAGAATTATCTTCCGGCTTACCGAACACTCCAAGGAAACGTTGAAACAAGGTCATCTCAAATTTAAACTCTTTTTATCCTTTGGCGGGTCTTGTTTGCCAGCCACTTGATTCTTCAGATTCAAATTATCAGGAGACCTCTCGCTCCTCCTCCGGTGATTCATCACAGTCCCAGCTGTCGGCTTTCAAAACTACTCTTAGGTAATAACAAATACTTATTATTTGCTTCGTATGCTCCTTTATATTTACACTGGCCTCTCATAACTCATGTAGCGGAAAGGCCAAGCCTAGCAAGAAGGCAAGGGTGACTAAGCCGGCCAAAGACCCCAAAGTCCATGAACCGGAGCAGCAAATTCCTGCATCTGACACCTCCGCACCACAACAAGAAGAACCTGTTCTTGACGCTGCACCAGAAATTCCTGACCCTTCCGTCAACCAAGCGAACAATGATCCTTTGAACACTGAATCATCAAGCCCGGTTAAGTCGGCTGAAACACATGCTGATAATGATGTGGTGATTACCAACACCGACTTTAGAGAGCCAGGATGGCCTACTGTCTTGGCCAAGCACTCTGCCAAGGAAGAACACATTGAACGACGAAAAGTGAGATTTGATGTTGCCAACTACTCTCAACTGAGCATTGGTGAAGTATATTTTGGCTATCTCAATCAAGTGCACACTAGCGGAGATCTTGAAGTTGATGTGGTGAAGCAGATGCATCAAAAAATTGAGGTATGAACTCCTTCTGTATTGAGTTATGCACATCCTGTCAGCCCCCAAGTCTACTGTTTATGATGGAATTGAATATGCTGTAGACTTAGATTAACCATGAGTATAAGTGATATCCTTTGATAGAATCCTTAAAAATCCGGCTTACACCATCTGAGCTAAAGTAGATATTTAATGATTAACACTGCATCCGTAGCCCCCAAGGGCCGACTTAACCAGCATGAATGAGCCGGTCCTGTTCGTCATTTTTATGAATCTAAGCTTTCTTATATAGCCCCCATGAGCCGGTTGTGTTCGTTCACAGCACAACCGGGTCATCATAAGATGCGAGCAATATGAATTAGCCCCCAAGTGTGAAGTACTCTTGCTTGCAAAGTTCTTGGCACTTAGTCACATAAGCCATTTGTATAAATAATTTTTTGGTAGACATTAGCCCCCAAGTTCCAAGTATTGTTGCTTGCAAAATGCTTGGGACTTCTTTCTTGTAACCCAAATATGAACATGATTTTGAACCGGTGTGTGTACAGGACACCACTGCTCAACTTCAATCTCAATTAATTGACGTGAAAGCCCAACTGGAGGTGCAAGAATCTGAGACCCGGAAGGCCGACTCAAAATTCAAATTTAGCGTGGCTGAAACAGAAAAACTGAAGACCAGTTTTGAGGTTGAAAGAAACAGCTGGGCTGAAGAAAAAACTGCTTTGATACAGCGGGCTGAGAAGGCAAAGGCGGCTCTTGAAGAGGTGACCACTAAGCTTACTGGCTTAAAACGCCATGTGTCTCAGATGGTTTCTTCTATCTTTGGTAAGTCGCCTTGCTAGTATCAAATTTGAATCTCTTCCTTGATATTATAAACC